TGGCTTTTTGCCTTTCATTTTCCTGAAATTTTATTGATTACTGTAAACTAATCTTGAAATCTGATGGGTTGTTATGTTTTACTGGCCCATTCTCATGGACTGAGAAAAAGATGCGATTTAGAGCAAAAAATAGTGCGATTCGTGAATAAATCGCACCATTGAGAGCCAATCAGATTGCAAGGATAACCAGTGATTTCAAAATGGATTTAATAAATTACGTAACCGAGCTCTCCAACTGATCTAATCTGTGTCCTTGAAATCAGTAGACTTACATTAAATATTGAAGAATAACAGCGACATTATAAGGATTCCTGAATCCAGAAAGTAGTTACCTTCTCTTGTCCAGAAATGTTGGTGAGGTAACTGTCCTGGGGGAGGTTCTCTTCTCTGTCACTGGAGACTAAAAGACCAAGTAAAGATAAAACAGTTGACAATGTAAAGAACTGATCAACGAAATACACTTCATTCTTCGTTTCAGACATCTGCTCTTACATTTGGTAGTCCAATAATTAAAAATGACATTGAATGTTGATTAGGGTGCCTAAAATCGGATAGACAGGTTGTGCAGAAATCTCCTGAATATTCAGTGTTTATCCCTTGTGGTCGATCAACACATTTTTTTCTCAATCGCTTTATAATACCGAAACGGAGGGGTTGTGTTTTGATTTACATGTAAAAAGTTGACAATTCTCACGTGCCTGAGGTGTCAAGCAAGACTTCATTTATCCAGCAAAGACTTCATTTATTCAAGGTTTGGTCTCGGTCTTTTTTCAAATACTGAATTTAGTGGTAATATGGGATATAGCGTTCTCTGGTAAAAAGTATTAAAAAACGTAAGCTTTCGACAGCCGGTCTACTGTCTTCGACGGATAAAAATTTGTGATAAAATGAAACGTTAAAAATATGAATATATAGACAGTAATTCGCATAAATTTAAAATTTCTGCACATAATAAAGAATGTTCAAAAGAATGCTAAAAGTGCTTAAATTAATGTTTGTTTAAAACAATGTTATATTGTCTTGGGAGTGGGCATGAGTTATTATCAGCCTCAACAGTTTTTGCCGTGCGCCATGATTCCAGTGTCTTTCTGGTGCGATGGTTTCCTTTGTCAATGATTGTGGAGTTGTCAAAGTCAATTACCTGGCCAAAAGTCCATGCATGTTTCGTGATGTTGGAGCCTTTAGCACATTGTTTTGTATTTCTGATATGTTCTTTTCTTCTGGTGCTAAATGATCTTTTAGTTTGGCCTATGTAATTCCATTGACATGATGCACATGGGATTTTGTAAATAACGTTGCACTGATTGTCTTCAGGAGGTCGAAACTTGGGAACACGAAAATCTTGTTGTAGTGGTTTCGTTGGTTTGTTGAAGAATTGGATGTCATGCCTCTTAAGAATTTGAGTGAGTGGCTCAGTAACACCTTTGATGTAAGGAAGGATTCTAAAACTCTGTCGGCTCGTTGTGTCAGCCCATTTGAAGCACATACCAACTAATTCCTCCAATGTTGGTGTAGGTGGTGGTAACAATTTCTTTCTTATAATATCACTGGTGATTTTTTTAGGATAGCCACTAGATTGTAGTGCAGCACTACCGTAACACCTCTGCGGAGAGCTCTAAATCTTCCTAACTCAGAATCGGAAAAAGCCCGTGAAACTGCTCGAATCAGCGCCGCACTACAATCTAATGGCTACCCTCAAAAAATCTCAGACCACGAACAAAAACGTACAAAGAAATAACATCTTGATACTTAACGCTGGAATTTAATTTTTATCATTTTATCTTAAAATAATAAGCGGACTATCATTCACTTTTATGTAATATTACACATTTCAAAGTTTCAGTATTCTAACAAGCTAATACCACACCAATTGATGACCTTGATGACCTATAAACACGCGATCTACTTAAATAAGAATTACTTCGCCAAGCATGTCAGTACAGCTGTTCAGTGTGAGTGTGCTTCATTCATAATAGTCACCATTAGGTAATAAGGGCAACTAATTAACCCTCTTTAAAAATTATAGTAAAGGAGTGAAACTACCATTTCTGTACCTTCAGACTAAAATAAGAATCACAGTAAAGTCATTTTGTTATGGAGATGGAACAGGCGAGGGTTCTATATATCATCCTTTTGATCTTGCAAAATGATGTGCTATAATATTTATGAACTTAAGAGATAGATACTTAGGATTCGAGCTGTCATGAGGAATAGCTTTTCGATGAGGAGCGTTGCCACAGTTATTAAACAGAAATAAGAAGTGCAGAACAAAGACAAGAACGTTGATGAAGTTTGGATCCAGCCAGTCAAAATTTAGCAACTCGTGAGCTGTCTTAGCGCCAATAGTCTAGCCTTTGCGACTCGTTTGGTAATTAATGTACCGAAACAACTATCCTCTGCTTAACCAATTGGGATTCAGTAATTTTGCCCTCTACGTGTTAAAGGTTCGTATTTACCTGCTTACTCACCACTACATCTTCTGAAGGCCGTTTAGTAACTGATGCAAACACAACTCCCACCTTGTTGGAATCACTACAAAGAGATAAAGTTATTTCGTGTCAACTCATTTTCCTGCAACAATCTTTTAATTCACACAGAGACAGTCATATTGTTTAACGATAACTTTCACTTGGGTAGTGAAAACTGTTGCTTAGTGTTGGGCAGGAGACACCAGATTACACAACGTCCATCTGGACCTGTCTTTCAAAGACAATTCAATGATTTGCCAAGGACAAATTGGCACCAATAAAGTACTCCTTCCCTGAACGTTCGGGGATACACGAAGATGGGTTACTTGCAACTGTAGAGTCAGAATTTACTCGAGACTAAAATGTTCCTTTTGGTTTGTGTTCACGTCATCTGGAGCAAAATGATTTTCCTTACTCGTGGTCTCAAGAATTCAAGATCCTCTTAATAAACTTCATGGACTGCTGGTTAAACATTGAGGCACATTATAGTGAGAAAACGTATTTTTTTTATTTTCAACGACTTTTTAAGGACGGTGTAAACCATTAATAAATAGCAGGAGTTTCGTGAGATGAACTGTTCTTGGTTGGTCAGATGGTCTCTTGCACAAAAACAAGTGGCTTATTACAACCATTTCCTACTCCTTCAAAATCATCACAAAACAGTCAGTCGCTAAAACCTTCTTTCAAAAACTACTTAAAGACAGTAAGTGTTTACAGGATAATTCTCAGCAGGAAACAAAGTTATTTCCTTAATAAAGCAAAACAGCAGGCACCAAACGTTACCTTAATTTACTTTTTATTCTTGGTGTGACTGGAGTACAAACAAAAGCTTCAGCTTCTTGCTGGGGCTCAGACTGTTCCACAGATCTGCAAAACGATTAGAAAACTTCCAGTCTAGTCCAATTTTATGGTAACCTCCCATAAATGTCACAAATGTAAAATTCTGGGCCATCAAAGTACAACACAATAAACATACAAGAGAAATTTCAAACACTACCAGCTAATCCCAACATGGCCATCATCTCCGACCTGCTAGCCATGTCGATCATGTAAAAAGAGTTGTATAGATTTTCTATTTCTATCCATGCATGTCCATCTGTTCCTATCTTTATGGTGCTCCGCTTGGCAACCCTTCGCGCCGCCAGAGCTCCGTTACCATCCCTTAATCCCCAAGTTCATGGCACCACGGAAATGCTGATACAAGTATCCAGTACTATCCCCTCTTCAGGCTGATGCAATTAACCAGCCATATCCCACTCGCAATGCTGAAGTACTATACCAGCACCATCCACCTCTCCATGGCATGCTCATACAGCACAAGCTTCACAATTACTAGCACAATCTTCCCTTCCGAACTGATAAACTAAACCAGCACAATCTTCCTATCCATCCTGATGCACTAAACCAGCACATCATCCTCTCCATACTGATGCACTAAACCAGCACAATCTTCCTCTCCATACTGATGCACTAAACCAGCACAATCTTCCTCTCCGTACTGATGCACTAAACCAGCACAATCTTCCTCTCCATACTGATGCACTAAACCAGCACATCTTCGCTCCGTTCTGATGCACAAAACCAGCGCATCTTCCTCTCCATACTGATGCACTAAACCAGCACATCTTCCTCTCCGTACTGATCCACTAAACTTACACAATCTTCCTCTCTATACTGATGCACTAAACCAGCACATCTTCCTCTCCATACTGATGCACTAAACCAGCACATTCTTCCTCTCCATGCTGATGCACTAAACCAGCACATCTTCCTCTCCAAGCTGATGCACTAAACCAGCACAATCTTCCTCTCCATGCTGATACATTAAACCAGCACAATCTTCCTCTCTGTACTGATGCACTCAACCTGCACAATCTTCGTCTCTATACTGATACACTAAACCAGCACAATTTCCTCTCCATACTGATGCACTAAACCAGCACAATCTTCCTCTCCATACTGATGCACTAAACCAGCACAATCTTCCCCTCCATACTGATGCACTAAACCAGCACAATCTTCCTCTCCATACTGATGCACTAAACCAGCACAATTCTCCCGTCCATGGTGATGCATTAGGCCAGCACAAGCCACCTCTTCATACCAAGGCATTCAACCAGCACAATCTTCCTCTCCATGCTGATGCACTATGCCAGCAGAATCCACCTTCCCAAGGAATTCTTGTGAGACAAAGTCATCATCACTGATGACCTGACGAGTTGGTCAGATAAGTAGGTGGCATCCAGCATCAAATACAATAAATTACTCACCCTAGATGCAAAAGGCCTACAGCGTATTTATTACCTTAATTCTTCCACTTTGTCCATAGTTGAGCTCAAGATGACAGCACGAGATACCGGATTCCCCTTATCCACTCTGTGTACAACAGTCGATAGTGGTTTGGGCCGAGGCACTGCAAACATACAATTACACATACAATTACATTCCAACACAAAAAGGAATTTGAAAAGGAACACCCAATTACAATATTGCCTTCTGCCTAAAAAAAGCAAAGACACCGCACAGGAGCAA